ACGACGGAGCGAAAGGGAGGGATGAACGGGTGCGGTGGGAGGTGGGAGGGGCGGATGTAGGTGGAGAAGTGCGAGGGGGGGGAGGACTTGGCGGGGGAGTCGTGCTCCAGGACGGCGAGCGAAGTGAGGGAGGAGGATTCCGGGGAGAGGCCGGTGGTGCCGGTGTCGAGGAGGAAGACCTTGTAGGTCGGGGAGCGGGGGGTGTAGGTGCGGGACATGTTGGGGGTGAGGGTTGCGGTTAGGGTGGAGGGAGTAGGAGGGGATGGAGGAAGTAGGAGGGGATGGAGGGAGTAGGAGGGGATGGAGGGAGTAGGAGGGGATGGAGGGAGTAGGAGGGGATGGAGGGGATCTGTTCGGATTGATAAGGACAAGCAGAGGTCGTCTGATTGCATGCGATGCGAGGCTGGACATAGCATTGCTGGCAGGAAGACAGTGATTGCTTGGATAATTACAGCTCGCCTTTACGTTTACATTTATCCTATAATTTCTTTTTACATTTTAGAAATTACAGCTCATGCATGTCCTGTCGCTTCATCTCGATGATATCTCAGAAACATGAATCACCGATATTTCCCGAACCATCTCAACTCATTCTTCACCCTCGAGTCTTCCGGGGACAAGTGTCCCGCCGTCTGTGGACCCACGACCGGAGCCCTCCAAATTCACCGATTTTGACCGTCCGCCGACAAACATCCTTCCAGCTCCTACAGTTTCAACTTAACCACCCTCTTGCGCACCCCCCTCCCTCTCCGCCCCCTCCTCCCACCGGCCGTCTTGCTGCACGACGGCCCTACTCGCGCAACCCATTTCTTGTCTCAAGAGGAAGCGCAATCGACATGGAAGACACATGCTCTAGTCGCGATACAGTGGGGACTACGATATAAGAGCACCCCGTGCCAACCCTTCATGATGCTCTTAATCCAAGGTTGCTACTATTCAAGAATCTCGCACAGGATGCCCATTTTACTCCTTAGAACGCTGTAACGCCTCACCAATACGTAGTTGCCTGGACCTGTGCACAGAAGCCCTCCCTCATAAGCGCGCGAACACGCTTCTCACTCTCCGCAACAACATCCCTACCTCTGTTATATTGCAATCATGGGCAATTGTTTCTAGCGGTAGCAATAATGCAGTCAGACCAACTGATGTTGGTATAGTGGCGGTCGGTATAGTGGCGCGTTCTTCCCCAATATATGTTGTTTCGTCACTGCCCTAAGGGTAACCTCCTCCACAGCCGCGGAGAAATGGAACAGGCGGACTGTGAGCGGGGCTTCTAAGGGCTAAAGATGCGTTTGAAATACTGTACCCCGAGAAAAGGCCTGTGTGATTGGAATTACAGTGTCTGATAGGTCTTGAAGTTATGATACCGTGCCAAGCGAAAATGGTGCTCTTACTGCGAGGTCGGTCTTATTCAAAGTGCTCTTATATCGCGGCCCCCCCTGTATGTACAGTAGTTAGCGGGCAGGCTGAGGTCAGTATGCAGGCTGGGACTTGAGGGTTACGGCAAGTAGGCAACGTGCCTTGGTTTTTGCTTTTATCTGATGCTGATGTCAATTGTGAAGGCACACTCCCGGTGTGCAATATGTCTTGTCTACCGGCTGACGGGTACATACGCACCGTGGCAGCCGGGACAAAAGGGGGACAAACGTAATGATGGGTTATTTTAACTCATTATATATCTAGGCGACGCCCCACTGCCAATTCGGAAAGCGCGTCCTCCGGTTCCCCATGCTTCCCCAGGGTTCCCCTCACGGAAACGTTCCCCTCACGGAAACTACACACAATACACGTGTTAATCTCCCACGTGGCCACGACGTGGGAAGCCCGCAAATCCATTCCTTTCTCACGGTTTTACCGTAGCTGCCAGAATGTATTTCCCTCTTCGTCGGTAGGAGGAAGAGGAAAAGACAAAGTTTATTTTGTCCTAATGTCCTTTCTGCTTTCAGGAATTGCATGTAGAGACTTTTTTTCAGCAAGGCAACTTGCTCAGAAGATCGGCGGCAATACTTGAACTTGCCATTCTGGGCATCTCGCGGCGGACGATAATTTGAGTGTGGGCGATATTGTGAAGAGTCTTTCTTGTTCTTCTCCTTCATCATCATCTTCTTTCATCCCCAACTTGTGACTCCAAGGCATGTAGCGATACCGCTACTTCGCCAAATGTTCCTCCTGTCATTTTGCAAGCCCTAAACGAAGGGTTAAGGAAAAGGGACTCAGATACTGTAATTGAAGACTCTTCAATTGGGAGACGGGCGAGTAATCGCCCAACATACCCAGGCGTCTAGCTTGGTTCTTCTTTCAGAAATAGACTTTAAACATTAACGTTGCAAATCAATGCAAGAACGGAAAGGTATGGAAGCCCTACCGAAACATGGAAGCTGCACAAGGACGGGTGTGAAGTTCTTTTATCAAAAGAGAAGGGATACTTGCACATCTTTCCTCTGCACGTGTAGACCATGTACGGGGTGTGTTCACAGTACGTAGTAGGACTATTTTTTCGACAAGGTTAGCTACTGCAGCTAATGATCATGTTTGTAAATTTGTAAATTCTCTTCTTCCTCGTACTATAGTATACGTCCTCGTGGAGGTGTGTAGTATACTGTGTGGCACAAAGCTCTACGCCGCCAGCCAAACTTGACGGTGTGGTTATGGGTCAAAAGAATAGATAAGTGCATACGATTGCTACAGCCATTCCCTGTTTTCTGTTCCTAGAAATTGAACCGGTGAATAGTTGGAAGTAGGAATAGGACAAAAGAAGACCATCGAGTGCAAGTGGCATGTCGTGGTTTAGCGTTCACGATACAATACGGGTGTTTGACAACGCTTTTTACAGTCGTACAATTAAAATCATTCCACCAGCCACGACCTTTTTGATATCAGCCGCTTTGTAGATAGCAAACAGAGACTTGTTCGCAATCTGCGGCACAGTATCCAAGCCAGTACAAGCCAGAGTGCAAACAGAAATGATATTTTTACAGAAATTCAACAACGCAGGGAGATGAACCACTTTTTCCAGCAGGCAATCAAGTTGCACCGCTTCGCAAAGGCTTTCTAGTCTTCATCGCTTTCCAATGCGCCCGCCCCGGCACCAGAATCTACGACGTGCAGCGAGCCAATGTGCGCCATGTCCTCACAAAGATAGCACCATTGGCTGACTTTAAGTTTCTGAAAGAGGTCCAACGAGCACGTGCGGCATGGCTCCTTCTCCTCAACGACTGGGTCGCATACCAGCACCTCTCTGTTTTTCAGGTAGCGGCAGTCCTTATCTACGTGAACCTTATCGCCCTTCGTCGTCTTGAAGAACATCCTCTCGCACGCCTTCAAAGCCGATGACGTCTTCGAGGGCACAAGCTTCTTCCCCACTTCCTTCCGCTCTTCAGCCTCTTCCTTCTCCTCTTCTTCTCGGATGCGCGCATGCCTCGCGCCAGGCCGTTTCCCGTCCGTGCACTTTGGGCAAGGGACAAGCCTCATCGGCACATCTGTCACGGGAATCTTCTTAGTCGCCGTCCTCAGGTTGTAGCAATCGCGATCCGCATGAAACATGCGCCCGGTCTTCGTAATGATAAACTCTTGACTGACGCTGTCCTTCTCCTCCTCCTCCTCCCCTCTCGCCGCGGTCTCAGCCGGCGCCAGCGCGTCCCTTCCTCGCGCCGCGCCGCGCGCACACACGCTGCACGGCTCCAGCTCGTCCGGCGGGCAGATGACATACGAGAGCGACCGAGCCTTCCCGAGTCCGTAGCACGTGGGAGACACATGGAACTTGGTCCCCGTCTTGGTGGTGATGTACTTGCCCTTTGCGCTCGGCCTGCGCGTGGGAGCCGCTTGATTCAAGCCTCGAAGCCTTGCCGCAGGCTCCTCCGCGGGGGCGGGCAGGGCCGGGAGGTGCGTGCAGCGGTGACACTGCGGCCACGCGGCGGCGTCGCGGAGCGGGCACGAGTCAACGGTGCCGGCGGGGCCGAGCTCGTTGACAAGAAGCTCGCAGTAGCGCTCCGTGTGGCACGGGGAGTCGCCGCCCTCGACGAAGAAGGCGAGCGCGGCAGCGGGGGAGGGGGTGTCGTAGCGGGCGGCGCACGTGGCGAGGCGGGTTGCTTCCTCGGCGAGGTGGGAGGAGAGGGGGCGGGAGTCCTTTTGGTGCGAGATGAGACGGTGCAGGATTTGGCGCAGGACGCGGACGTCGTCGTGGGCGTGGTGCTCGGCGTGCACAGTGACGCGGAAGCGCTCGGCGAGCGCGGCCTGCGAGAGCTCGGTCTGCGGGGTGGAGGGCAGGAGGTCGCGCGAGAGGGCGTAGGAGCAGGCGAAGCGCCAGTTAGACGGGAGGGAGAGGTTTGCGCGGGTGAGGTGGGAGTGCAGGAAGGCGGCGTCGAAGGGGGCGTTGTGCGCGACGAGGAGCGGGGTCTGGGAGGGCGGGGTGGCCGACTCGATGAAGGCGCGCAGCTTGGGGACAACGGAGCGGAAGTGAGGGATGCGCGAGTGCGGCGGGAGGTGGGAGGGGCGGATGTAGGTGGAGAAGTGCGAGGGGGGGGAGGACTTGGCGGGGGAGTCGTGCTCCAGGACGGCGAGCGAAGTGAGGGAGCAGGAGTCTGGAAAGAGGCCAGTGGTGCCGGTGTCGAAGAGGAAGACCTTGTAGGTCGGGGAGCGGGGGGTGTAGGTGCGGGACATGTTGGGGGTGGGGGTTGCGGTTAGGGTGGAGGGAGTAGGAGGGGATGGAGGGGAGTAGGAGGGGATGGAGGAGAGTAGGAGGGGATGGAGGAGAGTAGGAGGTAATGGAGGGGATCAATTCGGATTGATAAGGAGAGGAAGATGACGTCTGATTGCATGCGATGCGAGGCTAGACACAGCATTGCTGGCGGGAAGACAGTGATTGCTTGGATAATTACAGCTCGCCTTTACGTTTACATTTATCCTATAATTTCTTTTTACTTTTTAGAAATTATAGCTCATGCTGTCGCGCACGCGCATATATACTGTACGGCGTATTTGATATGATAACACCGCACAAAAAGGTGCATGCACCTTTTTGGGTATTGATATCCCGCGTGCTTACAGAACATGGGCTGTAAGCTTACCGTCCCCGCAGACGGCAAGCTTACATGGACCTATATGTACTACGCCCACGTCCGAGCTCCCCACGCCGAGACAGAACAATAAACAACTCGAGCAAGCAACTCTACGCTACTCTAGTCTGCGAAGGCACAAGCCGGAGCCCGTTCTCACCTCTGAAGGCGCAACGCCGGATCACTCACCCCCCCCTCTACTCCCCTTCTCATACCATCCTTTCTCTCCTTTTCCCCGCGCGCCAATCCCGCTCCCTGATCGTACAGAGAGCAGTGCACGCGAAGCACAAGGCCCCCTTTCGACGACAATCCGGATTCGAGGGTTTTCCTTGTGATTCTCACCCCCCTACGTCTCCTTTCTGACGTACTAGGAGATGTCTCAGGTTGGCTCTTCCGCTACCGATGGTCCGCCCGCCGCTGACAATGGTCAAGAGACCGCTCCGGTCATTCTGACGAAAGCCAAGGCCTTTCAGATATACTTTCGGCTTCAGAAGATGGCGAAGTGCGTCCAAGATGAGGATGAATTTCATCGTCAGTACCTCGGGGTCGCCCGGAATGTGCTCGAACTATTCACGGTTCCGCAGAGCTCTGGAACCACCGCTGCCGTTATGCCGGACCCTTTGGAGGTATGCGAAGCCATGTCTGATATGCTTCCTAGCCCCTCTTCCGTCTTCACGGCCGACTACTTCAACCACCCGGTCTTCCCACTCAAGGTTTTGTACAGCATTGCCGAGCTATTTCGGTTTGATGGAATTCCCGACGACTTCTTGGCCCAAGTGTTCATCAGAGATCACGAACGCGCCCACAAGAGCATCATGATCCAAGCCTGGTTTGCCTTTGTCCTTGGTTTAGACCCCAGCTCCACCCGCTCTGTCATAGACAGATTCCAGCAGGCGCGTTCACTTCCTTCTCGGCGAGCTCTCAATACCGACATCATAGCAACTGCGCCCACGACCAAAGATCCTATTAGGGCGCCAGGAACCTTACCCCCCCGTATGCCCTCAGCAATCTCACGGCCCCCCCGTGGCCCTAGAAGCGGAGCGGTTGACTTTGACAACCGCTTCAATCATGGCTATGAACGCGCCACCAGTCATAACCTGGCGCCCAACGCGGCTTCAGGGGACATGCGCCAGGGCGGACCCGTTAGATTTGACCAGCGTCCGCAGAACGGCCAAGACAATTCCCCGACTGCGCATGAACCCAACATGGACACCGGTGACACTCGCAAAGCAAACTACGTGCACCAGCAGTTCTCTGGTCGGAAGTTCAAGGGAGACCTCAGTCAGTCCGTGGACCTCCTGCTACGTGACTACGAGGCATGCGCACATCAGCACCGCCTAACTCCTGCGCAGAAGGCAGAGTACTTCATGAATGTCCTCGAGGGCCCGGCTCGTACCTATTTCCTCAACCACTACGCTCAAGGAATGGCTTATGAGCAGGTGGTTGAGCTAATGAAGCGTGAGTACGACAGCGACTCACGCCAGCTCCAGGTCCAGTCCACCCTTGAATGTCTCAATTTAGACACCTTCATGTCCACTCGCTCTCTGACAACCCACTCTGATGGCCTGACCAAGCTGGTCGAGTACCTGGAATTGCTCACCCCGCAATGCCCTCCTGGTTTCCGATCAGACGAGAACAAAATACGTTTCCTACGAAAGGCTGTTCTCGGTTGTGAATGGGCGCTCTCTCCCATTCGCAACATCGTCTCCCATCGCTACAAGTTCCACGCGTTCGTAACGGCCTTACATGAGAGCCTCCAGCTCTCTAACGAGCTCAAGGATGTGCGCCCGCCCGCGTATCCCACACACAGCACGGAGATGGACGAGGAACAAGCCGCTGATGTCTTCTTCCAACGCTACGGCCGCAATCCCCGTGACGTTCGGAACCGGATGTCTAACCGCCCGCCGGGCCGTCCCGATCGGCCCCCATTCCCGCCATCGTCTCGCACGCCTCCGGACCGCAATGAGGTCCGCCATGGGCGCACGTTCGACGAGGCGCGCCGTCGCAAGGAATGTTTCAAGTGTGCTGCTCCTTGGCTACCCGGCCATCGGTGCCACGCAGGGGCAATTGCTGCCAGCGCGCGCAGCCGACTCCGCAAGGGTGAATCTCACGTCCACATCATCCGAGACTACATTCTCGGAATGGAGGGAGAACAAGAACCTCATGAGGGTTCCGCCCCTCCTGGGACGGAGGGAGACAACGCTGCGGCAAAGGAGCTGGACGACGCCTTGTACTATGCTCGTGATGTTAGTGACCATGCCCCGTGTTACACCGACGAGTTCGACGGTGATGTGGTCACCAACGTGGTATCCGCTAGCGTATCAGAGCAGATGCTCTCTGCGGATTTTCGCTAAGGCGATGTGGACAAGTCGCTAATCCTCATCGCCCAAACCGATCGTCCTATCAACATAGGACTGCGACTCCTCGCCGCAAACTCCCGGTCGTTGACATCGACTGCACAAAGATCTTCGCGGCGGATCTCCAACGTGAATGCTCTTCACGACGGCCTCTCGGATTCTGCGTTGATATAGGTGCCCCCAAGTCGGTTGTCGGCAAGCAAGAGCTTAACCGACTCCTGGCGGCTGCTGGAATGCACCGCCGCAACATCTGCAGCTCGGTACACCGCTTCCGCTTTGGGGACGAATCCTTCCAGTCTCTTGGACGAATCTCCCTGCCCCTCGCCACTCCGCCGGGTGTCAAACCCATCCTTATCGAGTTTGACATCGTCCAGGCAAACATCCCACCTTTGCTGGGCATGGATGTCTTGGACCGAGAGAAGCTCGTCGCCGATACAGTCTTCAACCGACTGGCTCGACGATCGGCAAACGAACTAGAAGACGGGCGTATGACCTATGTCGATGAATGGTTCATACCCCTTGTCCGCTCGCCGAGCCGGCACGTCTACGTCCCTTTTGACTGTGGAACACGGAACTACTTCACAAAGGCACAGCTCAACAAGTTGCACAGCCAGTTCTTTCACCCATCCGCCACTAAGCTCTTCAACTTGCTAAGGAAGGCCCGCCCTGACGATGCGACGCCAGAGACGCTCCATATCCTTCGGGATATATCGAAGCGCTGTGATCCCTGCCAACGAATCAAGCCTGGGCCTACCCGCTTCCGCGTCTCTTTTGGTACCGAAAACGCCCGCTTTAACGAGAGGATCATGATGGATATCATGTACATCGACTCCATGCCCATCTTGCATATCGTTGACGAGTCGACCCGCTTCTCAGCAGCCCGCTTCCTCCCCAATGTTAGCACCAAGGCAATCTGGGACACCCTGCTTCGCTGTTGGGCCTCGATCTACACCGGTCTTCCCAATCGGATACTGGTCGACCAAGGCAGCAACCTCGGCAAAAGCGAGCCTTTCGTCTCCCTTGCCGCAAGAGCAAACGTAGAAGTTCAAGGCACGGGAATAGAAGCGCACTCAAGCCTTGGAATCGGGGAACGGTATCATGAACCAGTCCGTACCACCTTCCGCAAGATGGTGCTCGTATATCCGAACGTGGACAAGACGCTCCTCCTTCAGATGGCTATCAAGGCCATGAACGACACTCTGGGACCAGAAGGCCTCGTCCCATCGTCCCTCGTCTTCGGAGAACTACCTCGCGTCTACACTGCCTCGGAAACGCCTCAGCCCCGAGATACTCTTGGGGAACGTGCCGCGATGGTTCACGCTGCCCGCACTGAGATGCAGCGCATCATGGCTAAGATACGCGTTGCACGAGGTTTGCGACATTCTGTGCCACTTGCTGCAAACCGCGCTTATGACCCTGGCGATCAAGTCCTAGTCTGGCGTGAGAAAATCGTCAATCACCGCATTGGCGAATGGCTCGGTCCCTTTACGGTACTCGGGATGGACGCCAGCAAGAAACTTGTATACATACAGGATGTCAAGATCGGTGCGGCTCGCCCCTTCAATGTCGCCCAAGTCAAGCGCTATATCGCCCCAATGGATGGCGCCCACTCCTTCTTTGCCGACCTTCATCGTGGCCTTTCGCACTTCTCATCTCCGGGTGATGACGATGACTGCGTTCACTTAACCGAAGTCATTCATCCAAAGGACCCCCGAGCAACTTCTTCGGACATGTCCCAAGCGAAACGTGATGAGATTCGCGGGCTACTCGACCGCGGGACATTTAGCGTCATCCTTCGAGAAGAGGTTCCTCCCGACGGCAACGTACTACCAGGCCGCTTTGTGCTTGCCATCAAGTCCGCAGAAGACGGTCAAGTCAAGTTCAAGGCGCGGTACGTAATAGGTGGACATCGCGACCGCATGAAGGCCCTCATGGTCCACAGTGCGGCCACGCTACAGCCCCAATCCATTCGCCTCCTACTTGCCCTCGCTTCGATTCACGGCTTCGACATCTGGTCTTCTGATGTCCGCCAAGCATACCTCCAGTCCGCCGAACCGCTTTCTAGAGAGCTTTTCATCACCAAGCCCGTCCCTGAGTTCGAGCTACAACCCGAACAGTGTCTAAAGCTGCTCAAACCCCTGTACGGCCTCTGTGACTCCGGAGACCTCTGGCACAAGACCCTAGACGAGCACCATAGACATGACCTTGGCATGACCCCGTTTCGGTCTGACCCGGCTCTCTACAAGATCATGTCAAATGGTCGCCTCATGGGCCTTAGCGGCGGATACGTTGACGACTTGCTACGCGCCGGCTCTCCTGGCTTCCGTCAACTGGCAAAGAAGACCAGCGAGCGCTTCCAGATGGGCGAGGACGAGCATATCCCTTGCACCTTCTCTGGTTTCTCGCTTGCGCGCGGCAAAGATGGAAGCCTGGAACAGAACCAGCACTTCTATCTGCAGAAACTGGAGCGGCTCCATCTCGACGCGTCCTTCTCAGAGTTCCGGTCGATGCGCATGAGACTTGCGTGGCTCGCCAACACCCGCCCGGACTGCCAGTTTGAGATCTCTCAACTTGCACAGGTCACTGAGGACCGCTTCCTTGCCGAGCAGCCCACAATTGTCCGCCGCCTCAACAGAGCGACAAGATACGCCACGGACCACCGCGTCTCTCTCAAGATCGCCACCCTCGATCAAGAGTCCCTTCGCGTCATCGGCTTCGCCGACGCCTCCTTTGCCAACAACCACGACCTGTCCACGCAGCTTGGCCATATCTGCTTCCTTGCTGATGGACACGGCCGCTCCGTACCGATCAGCTTCAAGTCGTACAAGTCTAAACGGGTTGTCCGCTCTGCCATGGCTGGAGAGGTCATCGCCTTCAGTGACCTGTTCGACATCGCTGCCACTCTCGCCTCTGAGCTCGGCGAGATCTATGGCCGTCGCATCCCGGTCCAGCTGCTCACTGATTCTAAGTCCCTCTTTGATGTGATTTCGAAGGGTTCTAGGACGTCAGAGAAGCGCACGATGTTGGATATCGCAGCTGCGCGAGAAGGTTTCCGCGATAAGGTTATTTCTGACATTGGGTTTATTCGTAGCTCGAGTAACATCGCCGACGGCCTGACCAAGTCGATGTCTCAAGCTGCTCTACAAGCCGCTGTATCTACGGGCATGCTCTCGATTCACCCTGAGCAGTGGATCATTCGCAACTAAGTCTAAACGCCATTCGCTCTCCTCCGTAGCAGCTTGCTTTATTTCCCTTTCCTACCCCTTATCTCTCGTACCTCTACCACTCGTAGCTTCTTTGCACCGCCACCTCCACATCTAGCAAGATTGTCAGCTGAGAGCACAAGTGCCGTTCGTTCCTCGGAATCAATGATGACCCCATTGTAAGCATCCACCACGACGGCGTGATCCACCCGCTTCTCTTCCAGAATCCGCACGATGAAGACCCCTGTGCGCCTGGCTGCAAGTACACGAAAGGGCGCTGTCCTTTCGCCGCCCTGGATAGCCTTCTGAACCTCCTCGTCACGCACCACGCGACAGCCAGTCACCGATTCATGCGCCCTTTGAAAGAGTACTCCTAGCTCCCTGAAGTTGTGTAATATCCGTGACTCCTTCTTTAGCACTTGCTCCAACGCTTCCGCTGCCACGAGACCACGGCAGGAGAACGCAGCGTTTATCACGGCCGCCTTCACACAGTCGTGCATTCCGGAATTGCACCTTGGCTGCCCCGGGAGGTGTTGTCGGCTCGAAGAGCGCCAAGCCACTCCCTCACGTGCGCCAATTCCAGAAACCCGGACCACCACGCCCCGGTTCCGCCGCAGGAACTCTAGGACGTGCCTAGCAACCTCCTCCTCCCGAAGCTGCCTTGACGCAGCCCTACGTCGGGCTGGCACGACGCACGGCGGCCAGGGTTGGCTTCGCTCTGCAGCCCGCGACCCCAGCAACGGGTACGTCTGCAAAGTTAGCTCACCTTCGCCAACCCCTTCGAAGATTCTAGCGTCCCACTCCACGGCGTGGAACGCCTCCATCGGGGCAGTGCCCTGCGCACTCGCATGCGGCACGCCCCGCATCCCCCTGGCCCCGCCACTGCCGGCTTCTCCTTCACCCACCACCATGGCCTCTACCAACCATCTCCCCGCGGCCTCATACACGGCAGTCGGTTTTGCAACCCCAGGCGGGGCACTCTGTACCACAGGAGAGCCGTCCCGCAGCTCAATCCTGGGTAGAGGTTCCGCCGCCTTAACTGCCGTGGAAGCCTCGCTCAGCGGGGTCGAAGGCGCGTCACCGCGCAGCGATGCTGCGCGGGACGCAGCACTTCGAGATGAGAAGGCGCGGGATGATGATGAAGCTCGCGACGGCGGAGGTCCCGGAGACACAGCGCGCGAAGATAACGAAGACCGCGACGAAAGCGAAGGCGTCGACTGTAGCCATGAATACCTGTCCGACAGCGATACAGACGGAGCGCGAACGAACGGGTCGTATAATGTCACGACGAGAGGCGCCACGACGCGAGGCGACACGACGCGAGGAGATGAGACGCGCGGTGGTGAGACGCGAGGCGTAGAAACGTGGGATGATTGTGCAGGGGACGCCTGTGCGCGGGATACTTGCTGGTGTGGCGCTTGTTCGTGCTCCCGCAGACTACGGCGTCGACCCCCCCTGCGCTTCCGCTTCCGCTGTGGCGCCATCTCGTGTCAACAACGGAAGGTCCGACGCCCATGGGAGGGAGTGTCGCGCACGCGCATATATACTGTACGGCGAATTTGATATGATAACACCGCACAAAAAGGTGCATGCACCTTTTTCGGTATTGATATCCCGCGTGCTTACAGAACATGGGCTGTAAGCTTACCGTCCCCGCAGACGGCAAGCTTACATGGACCTATATGTACTACGCCCACGTCCGAGCTCCCCACGCCGAGACAGAACAATAAACAACTCGAGCAAGCAACTCTACGCTACTCTAGTCTGCGAAGGCACAAGCCGGAGCCCGTTCTCACCTCTGAAGGCGCAACGCCGGATCACTCACCCCCCCCTCTACTCCCCTTCTCATACCATCCTTTCTCTCCTTTTCCCCGCGCGCCAATCCCGCTCCCTGATCGTACAGAGAGCAGTGCACGCGAAGCACAAGGCCCCCTTTCGACGACACATGCATGTCCTGTCGCTTCATCTCGATGATATCGCAGAAACATGAATCACCGATATTTCCCGAGCCATCTCAACTCATTCTTCACCCTCGAGTCTTCCGGGGACAAGTGTCCCGCCGTCTGTGGACCCACGACCGGAGCCCTCCAAATTCACCGCTGTTGACCGTCCGCCGACAAACATCCTTCCAGCTCCTACAGTTTCAACTTAACCACCCTCTTGCGCACCCCTCCCTCTCCGCCCCCTCCTTCCACCGGCCGTCCTGCTGCACGACGGCCCTGCTCGCGCAACCCATTTCTTGTCTCAGGAGGACGCGCAATCGACATGGAAGACACATGCTTAAGTCGCGATAGTCCGATGACCGTGGCCCACTTTTCGCATCTTTCCCACTCTTTGCTTGCTTTCTGTTTGCTCTGCGTGCGTGCATGCGTCTTTTCGTGCCCCCGACCTGCGTCGAACGTATCGTCACCGACGGACTGACCCCTCACAGACGTCACCTTGCAACTCTTGTCATGAGCATCTAACTCTCCTATCCTGCTCCCGCAAACCAAAGCAAGCACCAGATCCGAAACACGGTTGATGCGATGCAAAGGGAGTCAAAACTTCGTCAGAGCACTCGCCCGCGCGAAAACCATACACGACCATCCGGACACACACGTCTGACACACCACCCGCGTCCATCCCATTCGCCTTCGCACCTGCAACACCAAACTTTTGACGCACGAATGCGCGTACTTCCGTTATACGAAACGAATCTTCACTCCTGCCCGCGAGTCTCCCAGCTCTCGGCACCCAGGAGGGACGATCTGGCGGCGGCTCGCGGGCAGGAGGTCACGACGCGGCGGCGACGGCGGCGGAGGGGTGGGGGAGTGAGGGAAGAGAAGCGAACGTGTGACGAGAGCCCACCCCCAAGCCCGCGTATTACGAGTGGCGAGGAGGGTGCGGGGCGCGGCTTTGCACCGCCACATGCGCGCCCGTCTCGCGCGAAAATGAGGACGGGGCGCCGCCGAGGAGGGGGACGCGCCCGTCCTCGCCTCGCCGCGCCTTACCACAAAACGACTTCCCTGGCGCAAATATGAGTGGCGAGGAGAGTGCGGGGCGGGGGGCGCGTCCACGAAGCCAGTAGAGCTGGGGGGGGGAGGGGGGGGGGAGGGTGGCGTATGCACGCGCCGCATGCCCCGCACGGAAAAGGAGGACGGGCTACCGCCGAGGTGGGGGGAAGGCCTGTCCTCGCCTCGCAAGTCACGACAAACGTGTTTGCGGCTTTGCGCCCTCGGTTGTGCCGCGTAATAGCGTCGCTGGCACCGAGCGTGTAGGGCACGATGAAGAGGGTGCGAACGAAAAGGCGAGGACGTCGCTTTTGATTGTGACTGATTGTTTTATTCGTTTTCTTTCGCGAGTGTGATGTTATTAACAGGGGTGCCGCCGAGGTGGGGGTTTACCCCCGGTTGGTAGTTTAGTGGAAGAACACCGCAGCTTTTGTTGCCGGGACGTGGGTTCGATTCCTGCCTAACCGTTACTCAACGCACCTGCCTCGGTTGACCTGAGCGTCGACAAGGGCTGGCAATAGTGGCTGGGCTGGCTTCCAGTTTCATTGGTTTGTTCCTCGCAAGAATTGAGCATCTGTCACTGACAACAATTTTACACTCGTGTTCTTCAGGTGCTGCTTGTTTCTGTACTCTTTTGATTGCAGGTGGGTTCACTGTTAGGTCGTACAGTACACGCGTTGCCAATTTGGTGTAAACGATCCTCATAGGTGTTGATGCAGGCGCTGTATACTTGACTGAACACTTTCAATAGTGTACGCAGGACATTACTGTCGGTATGAAAATAATGATTGTGACACTGTTTGTAGTGAATGAATAGCTGATAGTGTGCTTTAACGCTTGGTACACAAGCCCAAGTGCGGCGAGTGATGATGCCGAACCACTATCTGCTGGGCAGACTGGCAAGAGAGCGGCATCTATGACGAGCAGAGAGCAGCGGGAGAGGAGGGAGCCAGCGCGCCATAGTTGTTTGTTGTGGCGTTGGTGTAGGCTAATCCCCTAAACCGTTAATCCGCACAAGGGGACCGAGGGGAAGGGATGAACAGCTTGTAGCCGCTTCCGCATTGGAGACTCCAATGGTCTCCAATGCGGTAGTGAGAAATGCCAATTTCGTGAGAAATGAGTGAGAATGCCAATTTCTCAATTTCTCACTACCAACTTGGTAGTGAGAAAAGGAGTCTCTTGTTTCTTCCATTCACTTGTATTGGTACTACTGTACCAATCTACCAATACGGAATGGAAGCACAGCTGGGATGTGCGCTGTCATACGTGTACACGTGTGGAAAAAGAGTTGTCTACTATAAATAGGCACACAGAAGTTGTAGCAAACGGTTCTCGCCAGCCCCAGGAGGGGCGTCCCAGGTGAGGCCCGCAGCTATCCGTGTCCCCGTGCAACCTCCACTGGAGCTTGAGCGAGGGACCGCTCGTTGCGCGATGCCCTCTTGCCCGATCATCGCGCGTGCGCCGTGGGGAGGTTAATGCTTCGTTCACCACGCGGAGCTGGACCTTTTCCGCCGCGCCCGTCGGGATTTTTGGGTGCCGACTGCACCACGCGCACCTGCGGTGTGTCGTGTTAGATGCGTTGGTATGGATGTCGTTGTTTGCAGATGCGGGTTCCCGCGCCTGCGGGGGTCCTGCTTCTGTAAGCATTCGATGTTCGTCGATGCCGCTGATGTAGGGGTCTATCGCCACTGGAGAGTCACAAACGCCTGAATGGTGGCGTTTCGCGGGTGCAACTCCCGCGCAGTTGGACCTCTGTCAGCAAAATAATTTTTTTCTTCTCGATTCACTGGGTCGAATTGGGCGACTGGGAGGCTACTCACCCCCGATCGGACCCATTCCAAACGCCCGCAAATATCCTTGTTTTCGACGATGTTGTAGTAGAGTTGGTATCCACGTGTCAGGCCGGCATCGAGGTTCGCGCGTTCAAAGCTTGGCAGAGGCGAGGCGGAAGTGCGCTCCCTCGCAACTCGGACAAAGCCAGAGAATGACGAAGCGCGGATCAGGGGTGTATGGTTTGGATGGCTGGCGAGATCGAGGTTTGGTATGGCGCGGTTTTGCGGATGTTTTTCGCAGCTAAACGATGGACTGTCGACAGTGGGCGGGCAAAACGGTGCGAGCACCAAGGTCTAGTTCCGCTGTCATTTGCCACACAGAACAACCCCTCCATCTCCATCGACTTGCGCCCACGATCGCTACCCAAGGGTAGTCACAGCAAATCTGTCGTTGCATGTCTGGTCTGGGTCGCTGCCCCCGACACCTGTGCGCAAGCCGAGACTCGTTTCGAGATGCCACGCAGCAAATCGACCCTCCTCTTTGTCGCAGTGCGCCGTGCGCCGGTGACCTCAACTGACTGCACAAGCTGGCGCCATTTCATTGGCTGTGCAGCTCTCAAATTCTAATGCCTCAGTCCCGCCCTCCTCTTGTTCGGTTCGGCAACCCGCACCGCCACCGCCACCGCCACCGCCCCCCCACTCCCGCAGCGACGCCATCCCTTCCCCGCGCGCGGCCGTCAAACAACGCGCGGCCATCCCTTCGCCCGGCCGCACGCGGGCCCCGATGCTTTAGGCAGCAGCCGCCGTCGCTGACACCATGGGCACCACGGATCGCGCGCCCGCCATGAGGCGGCGCACGTCCGTCTCGGCGAGCTCGGACTCGCCGGACGTCGTGCTGAAGCCCGCGCGGTCGTGCTCCTCGCCGCCGCTGTTGCCGCGCCGCTTGGAGCGCTGGTCGTCCTCGACGACCGGCGCGACGCGGAGGGAGATCACCACCGCCACGAGTCGCGGCAAGCGGGCCGACGTACTGCACCTCGTCGCCGCCTCCGCCCTCAGTGCGGCCGTGATGCTGTTTGTCATGTGGCGACTCGACATGCTCTCGTCGGGCAGGTGGGAGGGCTATACGAGTACTCGTGTCGTCTTTGAAGGGGACGACTCGTTTGTCGCGTTGCGGAAGGCTTTGTTGGACGAGAAGGGGCCGGATACGATTGTCGCATTTTATTCGGAGCAGTGTGCGTATTGCAAGAAGATTCGCCAGCCCGTTCTCAAGGTTGCCAATGAGTATGTGGATCTTAACTTTGTGGCCGTGAGGCTGGGGGAGGGCAGTGAAGAGAATACCCAGCTAGCCCGTACCTTTGGGGTTACGCATGTGCCCTCCCTGTATTTCGTGAAAAGACGTCAGACCCTGAAGGACTGGCATGTGCAGAGGATCAAGTATGTTGGAGGGGCGCAACTGCCTCAAATGCGCAACTTCATTAACACACACATGGCTGCCGGTACACACCATGCGGACGTGCCCGACCCCGCCCGCACCGCGCAGAACCATGACCGCTAACTACCATAACCATAACTACGCCTACCGACTGTGTGCCTGTGTGATTCAAACAGAGGCCGATTCATGGCTCCGGCTCCGATTGTACCTCTTTCTTTCTCTCACCTGTAAACCCATCTTTACAATAGTATCGCAACCGGAGTTAAAGCCTGCACTACACACTTCGTTTTAACGTCCCTCGCCTTAAATTTCGTCTGAGGACGAATCAGGACTCCCAATCTTGTCGCCGGGGCCGTGCCCATTCATCTTTTTCATTGCAATATCACCTTGTCTTGGTGCCCTCTCAGGTACTCTGACGGCTACATCCTCCATCTCTGAACCACTGCCATCTTCGCTGCTACTTTGCTCTGAATCCAGTTCCCCAGTTTCATCCTCGGCATCCTCGCTTCCGGCTTCGCTGTCGCTGTCGTCGCTTGACTCGTCCGACTCGTCTTCCGACCCTTCTTCTTCCTCATACTGCGCCTTCGGCTCGGCATCGCCGGTCATCGTTCTCCCAGCTCGTTTCAGCTTATCCGCTCTGGTCAAGACCAGCTCCAAGCGACCCTGCAATCTCGAGAGCCCTTCAAGCGCTTGCGTTCTTTCTTTCACAATCTCTACGAGCGCCACAAGAGCCTTATTTCTCTGCTGACTCATCAGCGCCCCCGTGTGTTCCATCAACACCTCTCGAATCCATCTTGCCAACGTTTCAGCCTTTGTCGGAAACCGTTGCAACCGATCCACCAACATGTCTAGAAGATCCCCCGCGGCCACCGATTGCGGCAACCGCTCCACAGTCGTCCTGATCAGCTTAACGTCTCTCATCTTCTCAATTGTGTCATCAAACAAACTTTGATCCTGTGCCCGAATAGCCTGCATCAAAACGTTCGCTCGCGACCCAAGTATGCTCTTCTCACCGCTCGCATTCGGAAAAGCCTTAGAAGCACCAAAATCGCCATCTCCTTGGCTAATCCCCAGCGCAACCAACTTTTGCTGTATTGAGGGCTCCTCATCTTCATCCACATCTACATCCACATTCACATTCTTGTTATTATCATCGCCATCGCCGTCCTCCTCTTCACCGACGTCCTCTCCCTTATCCCTCCTTTCGCCATTCATCTTCCGGTCGTCCGTTCTCTGTAAGGCCGGGATACTAGACCCTTCGACGGCCTTGTGTTTTGCGGACCTCTTCTGCTGCACGGCTTTACTCACAAGCACGTCGGTGGCGCAAGGCGGCAGCATGACAGATCCCTCAACTTCTGCGAGCTTAAAGCGAGCCATGGTGGGCTTGAGCGCGGAGCCATAGACGACGGTGAGGTCGCCGACGCTTCCAAAGGCGGCCGCAAAGACGGGGACAGGATTCCCGCCCCGCGGGGTATTGTTTAGCACAAAGGAGCATTCCGTCGGCTTGCCGGCGGCGCTCTTCTCGGTCCAATTGCGCCAGACGGCGACGGCGCCCGAGGCGAGGATGGCGGCAACGGAGGCGCCGGTGGACTCATGCTGGTCGACAGCGACGGCGACGACGCCGGTCTGCGGGGCGAGGAGGGTGGCGACGGGCGGGAAGACGGGCGACGGGGATTTCCGGCGGCGCTTGACCGAGGTGGGCGGGCGCGCATCCGAGGAGAGGTCCGCGTCCCAGACGGAGATGAAGCGATCGGCGGCAGAGGCTGTAATGAGACGCAGGCCGCCCGGGAGAAAGGCGGCCGAGGAGACGGGCGCGGCGTGCCCCGTGAACGAGCGCAGCAGCTTGCCCGTGCGCGGGTGGATTAGCGTGACGGCTTGCGAGCAAACGACCGCGCGCGAGAGGTCCGCGGACAGGGCGAGGGCGGAGATGGGGGCGCGGTGGAGCGGCAGGAGGGAGGAGGAGGCGAGGGTGGAGGGAGGGGAGAGCGAGAGGAGGACGAGGGAGCGGGCCGGGCCGGCGGCGGCGAGGAGGTGGGTGGCTGTGGCGGCGAGGGCCGAGGCGGGGCCCGGGAGGGAGGGGAGCGGTTGCGAGGAGAGATAGAGCGCGCCGGAGGAAGTGGCGAGGACCGGGAGGGGGGGTGTGGAGGAGGTGAGGGCGAGGGCGGTCGGGGTGAGTGTTGCCGGCGGCGGGTGGCTGCTGCGCGTGAAGGCGGGCAGCGTGAAGAGGTCCAGGGCCGCGTCGGGGCGGG